GCTGCATGTCAGCTCCTGGACTCGCTCTGGTTTTTTTCTCACTCTCAAATAAACGAAGATGGTAGAAAATGATAGAAAGTGAACAGAATCTCTCTTTTTCTCTCTTCCAGTCCCATTTCAGGTATAGCCATGGTTTTCAGAGCTGAGACATTTATGTCTCTTTGCTCATTAATTTCTGTCTTTCTCCCTTGCATCTCTCTCCCCATTTCCTTGACATTAGGCAGAATATTATCTAAAACAAGACACCTTTCAGTTTCAAAAAGAAAACGCATTTGCAAAGTACTGCTTGGACTCATTTTCTGGTCATTTATCATCCCTCTGACAGTGGATGCAGGTAGCTATGTTGGGGCTATTTTAATGATTATACCGCCCTTTCTCTCTCTGGTACCAGCATACAGGGAAGCAGCAGACTCCATAGGACTTTGAGACATGCTCCAGACTGTTTTGAAATGACATGGAAGGTATTAAGGATGACTACACAGACCAGCCTCAGCATCATTTATCTTCACTGATTTCCTTCAAACATGATGGAGGCTGATGACTGGAGGGTAAACTCGGCCCAGTAGCCTGAAGCTTTCTAAGGGGGAACTGAAGTCTTCATTTCTATACTTGGGTGCAATTTTTCTCTCCAGTGGTTTTTAAAAGCCTTGGTTTGAGGTATCTCCATACACTTCAGACAACAGGCAAAAAACAAAGTGCTTAGTGCCTGGCACAGAGTCAAAGCCTAATAAATATTTGTTGGGTGAATAAATAGTTAAATGGAATGTTATTAGCGTTGCTAGTGTTATTGCCTTGGCATGGAACATACGAGAACAGACTCGAGGCAATCAAGTAATTTCCCTTCACCAGCACAAGCTAATTATTTGAGAGATGGAGATCTGGTATGCAGTATTTATTTGTCAGGCTCCATTTGCTCCTAATTAAAGGTGGGAAAGTCAGTTGTAGCATCGACGAGACAACACTGTGTCCCATTCCTGAACAACCGTTTTTCAAATTTTCATGGCCTGTTTTCAAGGAGAATACATCAGGATGAATTTACTGCCCACTATGCTTATCATTTGTTCTTGCTGTTTTCTAGAGGGTAGACTGGGTGTGGAGTGAGTAGGACCTTTGACATCACTTTTAGAGCTTGCCTGCTTCTATGACATCACAAGTTGATTCTGTTAACCTTGGTTGACAAATAAAATCATCCTCCCAACAAATAATTGGCAGAGATCCAGGACAAAAATACTGTATCCTCACTGTAAGTCTTGGAAAGATCATTTGTTCATTCATATCTTCATTCATCCATTCAGACCAATCACAGTAATTTTATGTCTGATTATGTATAAGGCTCTTTAATGACTCTGGGATATTAACACTGAACAAAATTCAAAATGGCTCTATTCTCATGATCTAGGTTGATATTAGATATTAGTGGCACAATCATCCTAAAAATACCACTATAGCTGAATTTTTTCTAGAAGGTATATGGTTTATGGGGTCCATTTATCAACAGGAATTGACTCAGACTACAGAAGCAAGGAAGATTTTACTATGGTAAAACCTAAAACTAAAAGCTATATGATGCCTTTAGAAAGGGAGAGGGCAGCCCAGATAAAAAGAGCACCCAACACAGAGTCCTTGTGTCTGGAGGATGGGTGATGCTTCTCTAGGGACTAGAAATAGGTCAGCATGGCTGCATAGTAAGGGGATGATGGGCAAGCAGGGCTTCCACTTCAGGGGCTATGACAATAGTGACCTTGACTTTCACCTACTGAGCATTAGAAAGAGATTTCTAACAGGGAGTGAGAAGGCAAGGATATTTGGCCTTGTCATATCTGTGCCTGTGACAGGCAGATGGAAGAATCAATTCTTCTCAATACAGAAAGAGGAGTGAAGATGTACAGCCTTGGATGGCCCTGTGGTACAGGTGAGCTGGACATTCTAACCAGCCATCCTCTTCTGCTCCACACCTGACATGAATACCTTGCATCTTTAGCTGTTGCTAAGGAGCAGATGCATATGGCTACTGTTGGAGCCTGCAGCACAACTTGTCTTCTCAACTCTTCTAGCCCTTCCCCTTTCTCTCTGCTTTTCCTTTCAATGATGAGGAACTGTCAGAGCATAGTTCATTCCTGTTTCCAGCAGAGAGTAAAAGGCATAGCTTCTCACATCCATTGTCCCATTCAGAGGACAGGCATCTGCTCATCACCAGCAGCTAAGCCCCGACCTGTGCCTCCCCTTCCTGGTATCCACACAGTGCTATTCTGAGTATTAGAGCCTTAATATTTATAAAACAAAGAATAAGGACTGGCTCAGCCTCAGTTAATGCTTGGTCATTCATATTAGCTAATAAATGATACAAAAGGGTTAAAGTGCCAAAAACCAAGATATAAAACTACATTTTGTAGAAAGGGTTGGTAAAAAAAAGAAACTTAAATGCTAAACCAGTGTCTGATGATCCATGGCAGTAACCTGTGGGGAATGGGACGAGAGCAGAAGGCTAAGCGTTTGGGGCAGCTTTTACTTTTTCACATAATACTCTCGTAATAATTTATTTTTAACTCTAAAACTATATGGAAATGTGTGTTTACAAATGTAGGTGTTTGTAAACCAGACTGGCCTTGAGCTTGTAATTTTCCTGCCTCAGCCTCTTCAGTGCTAGGAATACTTGCATGCTTTTCATTTTTATAATAATGGAATTTTAAAAAAATAGTTTAGAAAGTTTATTAGCACTATCCAATATTTCAACTGAAATCAAAGCATAATGATTTCAACATACTTTCTTTCATACTTCTTTTTCCCCACTTGAATTTGGAAATAGCATTCAGAAACTTTTCTCGGGGTAAGGAAACAATCATGTATCAGAAGCCCAGCAATTCCTTCAAATTTAAACATTCATCATGATTCCCTTGCTACACAATTCTCCTACCTGTTCTTCTATTTCTATATATGCAAATATGGGTGATCTAGAATACTGCCCACCCACCAGCACAAACAGCATGTTTGGCTCCCAAGAGACTGACTTCATTGTACTCTTACACATTGCTTAAATTTTTTATAATGAGCATTTTCTATAAAAACAATGAACTCATTTCTCCAACATGGAGATGAGGAGTATTAGTTCACTTTTCTGTTGAGTGGTAAACACAATGCCCAGAGCCTACGCTTTCCCAGGGATTCAGGAAGCCTAGCTTCCTTAGGATTATCTATACCAAGGTTAGTGCTGTCACATGCAATAGCTATTGCTCACCAGGAAAGGTCAACAGACTCAGTGGATCAGGATATAGAAAATTAATATTTTAATGATTATCTTTATCAACACAGTATATCATCCTGCCCTCTTTAAAAACAAGTGGAGGCTCTTTATGTTTAACTAAAGATTTTGATTAACTGAATGGATTGAGAATGGCTAATGTGTTGCTAGGGTATCATGACTTTGATCCTCAGTTGTAGGGCAGCTCTCGTGACTCTTGGTCTCTTAATCTCTTAGTTCAGCACTATAATCAGGCAGATGATAGCACAAATCTGGAGAGAACATGAGCCCACTAGTAAATTCTTCATGGAACCAGTGTGAGCTCCCCAATTAACCTCTCATGTCTTCCCAGGGTATATTTCCAAGGAGCAACTGTGTTATTCAGTATTTAGCACATTGGGGTCCTTCAGAATTAGATAGTTTACTGCACAGGAAAAAAAAAAGGAACTAGGATGAAGTTAAAAAAGTTCAAAGGAACTGGGATGAAGCTGATAGCCAACTGACCTCCTAACTGGGGTTAGCAAAGACCAGCCAAAGTCAAACTTGTGGCCTAACTTGGTACAGATTGTGAGCTGGGAACGGTTTAGACATTTCAGATGAAAAGAAAAGAAGGAAGGAAAGAAAGAAGAAAAGAAAGAGTAGGATAACATCCTAAGATGTGAAAATTATATGAAATTCAAATTTTCTGTCCATAAAAATAGTTGCAGGGTGCAGGGTGTGGTGGTGCATGCCTTTAATCCCAGCACTTGGGAGGCAGAGGCAGGCAAATCTTTGTGAATTTGAGGCCAGCCTGGTCTACATAGTGAGTTCCAGGACAGCTGGGGCTACAAGGAGACCTTGTCTCAGAAAGACAAAAAAAAAAAAAAATAGTTGCAGGGCAAAACACCAGGAGTATTCATTTACATGCTGTCTTCAGCTGCTTTGGCGTATGATGGCTGAATTGAGAGTGTAATGTTTGCAGTGGTGAAAAGATCTGGCTATGCACAAAGTCGGCTGGCTCCTGCTTTGGTTGGATTCAGGTGGAAGTTGCCGGTGTGCATGTCTGTTAATGAGCAATGTTTGGTGTTGGAAAAATGCTGACTTGTTGCTGTGGCCGTTGCAGAAGATGTAGATGCTTTCTGCTTTCTTTACTTCCTACTCAAAGTCAGGAGAATGTCACTGTGTGAGAAAAAGTAGATTATTCTGGGGGAGAGGGGGGGTCCATGGAAAATATCATGGTAACAACTGTAAATACCTACACATCACCTCTGGAACTTATGGATTGTGAATGATGATTTGAACCCCTCAAATTAAATTAGTAATTTTTCTTCATGCTAAAATTTGGTATTATATCTTCTTTGCATATGAGAAATCTTTTGCAAGACAAAATCTTTTCCTTGTGGTCCTTGCACACTGGGAGGATGGGAGTCCTCTGTCTAATGACTTACACGAAATGATTCTGTTTGGTTTGTACTTTCATTTTACTATCAATAAGATATGATGAATCATGGGATAGTAGGAAGTACCTTTTGGTAAACTTTGATAGGTGAGTCTGTGAAGCTGCTGTAACAGTTGAACTAGCAGTTATAGCTGACATTGACCTTCCTGTCTATCATAACATGTAAGAAAATATGAAATTTCTGCAAAGCTCCCTCCCCCAATAGCCACTGTTAATAATAGTACCAAAATATTATAGAATTGAAAATATGAGTCATTTTGCTTCAAAACCCCATTGTATATCTGAGTGACCTCAGCTGTCCCCTCTTGTTTTATTCTGTTTCAGAGGTTGAAGGCCGCATTGACTCACCACCCTGCTGCTATGTCAAATGGAAACATGAGCACCATAGGACACATGATGGAGATGATGGGCTCCCGGCAAGACCAGACGTCGCACCACCACATGCACTCACACCCGCATCAGCACCAGACACTGCCACCTCACCACCCCTACCCACACCAGCACCAGCACCCAGCACACCACCCCCACCCGCAGCCCCATCACCAGCAGAGCCACCCACATCATCACTCCCATTCCCACCTTCACACACACCCAGCACACCACCAGACCTCGCCACACCCGCCCCTGCACAGTGGCAACCAAGCACAGGTAGAGCTTTCCCACTATGTCTTACCTCCTCCTGGGCTTAACAGTAACAAGCACTGATGCTGCCATCACCTTGTTCTACTGTGTTTGATGAGCCTAGGCACTCCACCCCGATATTCTCGGGAGCACTATCCACTGCTTAGGAGATGGCTTTGAAGCATAAGACATGATCAGATCATGATTTCTATAAGCAATGTAGTAAATTTCAGCTCCTGTCACTAGAGACAAATGAAAACTGTAAGTTCTCCAAAATCTGTTTTTATTGCAGCATGTCACAAAGTTAGTCCTAAAAACAGTAATACAGATTGGTAGATTAAATAAACTTAAGACAGTGATGAAAGATGTGAATGAAGAATGAGAAGTTAATTCTAACCCTGGTTCTGCCTGCTATGCTGTAAGGCATCATGGAGACTCAGTTTTGTCACTTGTAAAATGTAACTTAAATGGGCTAGCTTCTTGAGTGACAGCAAATATTAAGACTCTAAAGAAGCTCAACAGGACAGGACACAAGGTACCATATAAATGGTGAGGAGAGATAACTCACCCCCGGATGTGAAATACGCTGGAGGAGGCAAAAGGCAGCTAAACTCTGCAGATGATCAGACCTAGAGAAAGGTCAAGATCTCAGGGGTGGAGAGTCACCAGGGCTGGCCAGAAAGAAAGCCAGCATGCAGACTACACTGAAAGAGAGTTGGGGGATCAGGCAGACATTATGTCACTGAGACTAAGAAGACAGGCGAGTCTGCATACAGAGCTGAGTTTTCCCAGATGAAAGACGTCCAAGAGCATGGCTAAGCCCTAGACACTTTGGGTCTTCAAGCAAGATGACCTTCGTCGGTCTCCTCCACCCATTCCACATTGCCTAGTCCCAGCCATCCAGATCAGACCTGTGTCAGATGCTTGAAATGCCAAGAATCACTTATTCACTGTCTCCTTTGCTGTCTGCTCCTGGAGACAAGCTCTGAAACCAACAGCATTTTGAACTCTCTGGCTTCCTCCCTTAACACACCCAGAGCCACGTGAGAGAGCTATACACAAAAATTAGCCAGTCACAGGCAACTCCCTAAGCTATCCGTCAGATAAACTTACCTCTGTAAAGATTAGAAGTGTTGTATACAGCAAAAAGAGCTGAGTTGTACAGCGAAAAAAAATATTTTCTTGCCTGGTTTGTTTGACTGTGAACAGAGATGACTAACTTCCCCAAAGCCCAGTTTTCCCATCAGCAAAATGGGGGTAATCAGATTAAATTCATAGACTCACATATGAGAATTAAGAAAGAGCATCTCTGTAAAAGTTTCCAAAACATGCTATCCAGGATCAATTCCAAACTAAAATGATCCAAAAGAAGTTTAGCAAGTAGTTAAGCAATAAAATGATATCCAGAGAAGCTTTTAAATCACATTTTAGTCTATTTTAGTCAACTTTTACACTGAGACATGTATCAAAAGAGAGAACAAAAACTACTGACTCAGTCAAAGGAAGTTAATTCACATTTGAGCTTTTTTTTTTTTTTAAATAAGGAGAACATCAAAGTTTGGTTAAATTTCTGGGCAAGTTATTACATAGACAAGCTCAACATTTCTTTAAATATGAAAGCCATTCATTAGCTAAGTGCCAATTAGCCAATTGCCCTATTTCAGTCAGTAAGTAACCAATTGTATATGCAATTAGTTAATTGCTGTTATAATTAGCTGCACCAAGAGTTGCCCTCTTAAATCCTGTACAAGAAAGAATCCACATCTGGGAATTATTTAGATAGTATTCTAAAATACTTCTCTTACATCAGAGCAACATAGCTGGTAATGGACAAGATCTTGTCGTGTTCTTCAAGTGTGCCGCTATAGAGATTTCTAAAGGTCTTTCCAATTCTGAGATTTTAAGTTCACTTGGAATAAATTCTGTTGTCTTGAAATCACTATTCATTGTTTTTGATCAAAATTTTCAAAGCATCTGAGAAGTCCATCTTAATATAAAATGATGAGTCACAATAATGGTAACACAGACTCTGATCTTAGGTTGTATGTTCAAATTCCTAGCGTCTTGTGATTTTCTTGTATTGTGTGGTTATAAGTTAAGAGTTGTGATGTCACTTCATATCCACCAGGAATATCTTTTGGGCAATAATCTTCCACCCCAAGCCCTGACCTGCACTGGGTCTGAAACCCACCTTAGCCCTTAGAGTGCCAGCACAAGGGGTTAAAGGTTGATTGAAATTAGGGGAGGAGCTTATAGCATTAAGAAGGCCTTGCAATAAAGATTAAAACTCAGTTTTTCTTACTTGAGAGTTTTGTCTAGGACAGGTAGTAAGAGATCACTAATTCATAAGGAAAAGTATATGGGGAAACGGTCCTGTGGCAAGTGCGTTCAGGCTTAATTGGATTTGCAGGAGCTAGCTCAGGAGGAGCATCTGAGATGGCAGGCTTTGCTACATCTTTCCAACAGCAAGGATTATGTCATCACCAGCCACTCTGGTGAGTAAGACCTTAGAAAATGAATTTATTTTGTTATTCCACTGTGATTGGGTGGAAAGGAATAGCCAATATAGAGTTTCAAAAAATGTCTTTACTTTAAGTAAAATTACGGAGATGCAGTTGAACCTCCCTCCTGAGCCTGATTCTTTTACAGTTAGTCATGGGTTTGACAGAGTTTAGGACTGAAATATATCACCATCAGTCAGCTGATGTCAACCCATAGCCATTATTAGTGCAATTATAGTCATTCTGATTGATTTCAATCATAGGGTTGGAATGTGGTAGAAAAGGTTGTTGAGCTTCGTTTTTTAAACTTTTTGCCTGTTATTTCTCTAGGTTAAATGTCTCTTGTAAAACAACTTTATAGGTATTACAGCCATAAACCTGAGTGACTGAGAAATGGGAGGGGGAACCACCCTTTATTGAGAATGAAGAGGGAGGAAGGAGTGAAGTGCATTAAGGAAAGCATTAGGTGTCCAGACATATAAAGAGGCAGTCGTAGAAATTTCACAAGGTGCTGTGTGTCTGCCTCATAGAGGGAAATAAAGCTGTCTGTGTGGGGGTCTCCAACCTCTCTATGTTGCTGAGTACCACACAGACCTTACAAGGAGTCTCTAAGCACAGTAAAACTTTTTAATAAAGTGTATGGCCACTCCTAGGATTTCCTTATACTGTAAGTATGTGTTATGCACTCTGTCCTCACTGTCTCACCCATGCAGTGTGTGAAGAAGGGCAGTGCCAGCCACAGCCACTTACTTTTAAAGGTCCTGCCCCCTATCACCTAGAAAGCTAACTTGAGACTCTCTCTCCCTTAGTCAGAGCTGCAAGGAACAGGCAAACCACACCCATCTGGAATCTGTAGGTCCAACTAGTCTTCCATACTAAGAGCTGAACATGAACATAGGACCTCAGCTTCCTTCTGCCTCTGCAAGGCTCTTCCATAAGAGTCACAGTGGTGACAGTGTCCCAAGCTTGTGCTCCAGGGACAGAATTGGATTTTAAACACTGTTAGAAGGAAAGGAGCTGACATCTTGCTGCAAGGTTTTCTGCAAAGAACAGATCACTCATCAGTATTGTGACAATAACCTTGGCTTCGCTCTGTTTTGACACCTGTTACTACCTTATAGTTCTTTAAAGCATCTTAAAATATTTTTGACAGCTGAAGGAGAAAAACTGTTTCCTCACCCTGATCCTTCAAATGCCTGTGAGGGAAGAATTCACCTGCCCGTGTCTTCTTATGAGTCATGTCCATATCTTGCCAAAATACCATTCACCAAAGCTCAGTTCTACTTTTGCTCTTATGATTTCATTGTTTATTTCATTCATTGAGAGCGAGCTTGGTGTGTTTGCTAAAGTAACTGGCTTCCTAGGCTTCGACGTGTAACACTGGCTTAGAAATTCTTCCCTTACCCCTCATGTCCTTCCCTATCCCCATCACCTCCTCCCTCTCTATCCTCACAGGTTTCACCAGCCACACAACAGATGCAACCAACCCAGACAATACAGCCGCCACAGCCCACAGGAGGACGTCGGCGAAGGGTGGTGGATGAGGATCCAGATGAGAGGCGGAGGAAATTTCTGGAACGGAACAGGGCAGCTGCCACCCGCTGCAGACAGAAGAGGAAGGTCTGGGTGATGTCACTGGAAAAGAAAGCAGAAGAGCTCACCCAGACAAACATGCAGCTTCAGGTGCGGGCCACCATCCCTTTCCCCAGGCTCTGAAGCCTTGTCAGAGTTGGCATTTCCTGCCCAGCAGGTACTTGTTGACCCATGTCATACCACACACCTCATAACAGAGGAAGCCCAGGCCCTGACATCCAGTCCTATTAATCAGTTCAGTGTCAGTCATTTCTCAGACAAGGGATGGGGATCCGTGGGACTGAGCTCAGGATCATGAGTTCAAACCTGGTTCAACCGTGCTATGTTTAAGCTCCCTGGCTCTGTCTCCTCATCTCTAAAATGGGACTGATAACCATAGAGTTTTTAGGGAAGGATGTAAATTAGTGTCTGTTAGGTAGTTACCATAGTGCCTGACCCAGAATGAATCATCTGAAAGACAACTGGTGTGCTCACCTTGGCATACACTCAATTGTCTGTATTTTTCTTCGATGGAAGAAAAAATTGGGCATTTTGTTGTTGTTAGGTTTGTTTGTTCTGAAGATGAAGGCTATTTCCATCTCCATGCCAAACTCAACGAAATTGGAATCGTGTGTGATTTTTGTTTGATGTGGATGGCTTGACTAGGAATATTTTACAGCATATATGGGGAAGAAGCCAGAGTCCAGAGAACTCCATGGCATGCCAGCAATGCAGTTCAGGGTGTTTAACACCAACCAGGAAGAAGTTCCCAGGAGAAAATGGCTAACAAATTGACATGACAGACAGCCCTAAGACTGTGGGAAGAGTTATGGTTATATCCCAGTACCTCCAAAAACCTAGAGAATAGTATCAGGGGCCCAAATAAGAATGCTACACACTGTAAGATTCATAAGTTCCCCCACCTGGTTTTCTGTGTACTAATAGGAAGAATTTTTTTTTTTGGACACAGGGTCTCATATAGCTCACACTGGCCTTGAACTTGCTGTGTATCTGAGGATGACTTTGAACCTCTGATCCTCCTGGTCCAGCTGGAGAGTACTGGGGCTATATGTGCCATTACACTCAGTTTTATGTGGTGCTGAGAATAGGACCCAGGGCTTTGTGCATGGTAGGCAAACACCCTACCAAATGAGCTCTATCTCCAATCATCTGTGCACCTTTTCAAAGGAGCAGTGTGAGTTCCAGTAAGTGAAAAGGACTGTGGGGCATCCTGTGTACAAATCAAAAGTATGCAAGGAAAGGTTGGTTTTTCTATGCTCTGAACTCCATAACTTCTGGTGTAAGACCTACACAGTTTTTTTCTTAATCAATGAATAAGTTCCCTATCTTCAGAGTGTCTGCAGACTGACCAACTTGGCAAGGATGTGATGGTAGAGAGTCAAAGCACAAAGGAGTGTCGAGCTAAACACCTTCAGAGCCATGGCTATACTCTGGCTGGGTAGAGAAGTCCCTGAGAACTTTAGGTAGAACATGAATGAACATTTTAGTATGTATAGTTACATTTTCACTTTTATTGTTTTTAAAAGTATGAATGGGACATCAAAGCTCCAGTTTCATAGACACTGTTGGTCGGGACAAGGGTTAATCATTTTAAAATGAGTCAATTTGCACAGTCATGTTAAGTGAGGAAAAGCTCTGGACTGTGAGGACCCAGAAAATATTGCAGCAGTATTTCTGCAATGACTGAGCAGGGAACCCCAAAACTTGTTCAGAGTTCTGAGGTCTACAGGAGGATAATGAAACATGAGCTTTCTGATCTTTGCCCTATTGATTTAGGGGACTGATCATTGTTAGATCCTATGTAGGTTAGGGTGCTTAACAGTATCTTTGGCTTCTACGTTCTAGATATCAGGAGCAAATTGCCCTTCCTCAGTTGTGACAGCAGTCTCAGATATTGCTACTAGTCCTAAGTTGGAGCAGGGATAGTACAAAATTTGCCTCAGTTGAGTATTACTTCCTTAGATAAGAGTCAAGACACATATTAGATAATAACAAATGGTAGGAATTAAAATGAGTCCCCACAAAATTATTCCAGGGTCTTTCTCCAGAAGGGTCACAGCAGAGAGAGATGAAGAAAGATGATCTTGAGCTTGGGATCAGATGTGTTTGTGCCTTGACATGTATTTATTCATGATTGCCTTCAAAAGACACATAAAATACATTTACCCTTTAGTAGACACTGATCTTCAGTAGAAACTTATCCATTGTGTGTGTGTGTGTGTGTTTAATATTTTAGAACCAAAATATCTAAGCCAAGAAAAAGAGATACTAGGAACTGCAACTCCCAAAAACTAAGGATGAAAAAACTTATTGAGTCTATGCACCAAGCACAGGTATCTTTTGGTTGCAAAAGCTGTGCCAAGAAAAGGAAAATCTCTGAAAAGACTGTGTTGTGGATGTTTTGCAACCACTGCTTACTACAGGGGGACCAGAGGGAAGAAAGAAGACACAACAGTCCCATGTTCTCTGTCATGTTTTGTGCTCTCTATCATGCCCTGTGATGTCACAAAAGATGTCACGGCTTCTGCTACCTTTGAGTGACCCTTTCCCTCTCACTGGACTTTTTTCAAAAGAAAAAGGTGTCTCTCTTGAGGCTGGTTCCATGAGCCAAATTTTAAGTAAACAGAAATAGAAGGTGCTAAGCAAACAAACTCCAGCCAAATGGAATATCCAAGGTCTGAATGGCCAGCTGCCACTTTTGAGTTGTTTTCCAGAACCTTCTAGTTAGGCTGCTACAGAGCTTCCAATTGGAAAAACAAGACCTAGGAAAACAAAAAACAGACACCCACCCTCCACACCAGTCTTCACTTCCCGACCAACAAATTGCCCATTCACAACAAATCTCTGCCCAAGAGGTCAACACAGGTATAGGATTAGGGAAACTTTGAAACTACCCAATCTGATGTTTTATATATATATACAGAAACGGAGGTTCAAGAAGTGGGAGAGTCACTCCAAATGTCCTACACAAGGCCAGTAAGTAGCAGAATGAGAACTCATGCAAATCGCCTGCTGACCTGAGCCCTTGCTTTGTGAGCTTTCATCCTACGCAAGCCTTGAACTAAAAGAAGCCCTGGCCTTCTTTCTGATGCAGTGGCAGGTTGCTGATGTGGCACTCCTAGGTCACTTGTGCTCAGTAAGGATATGGAAATCATCTGGTCACCCACGAAAGTAATTGCTTTTCCTTTTTAGTGCAAAGACACATGGTCTAAGTTGCTGCTGAAATTTTAGACACACGAAGCCAGGTCTGGGACTTGGCAAGGGAACAGGCCAGATGGAAACTGTTGCTTGACAAATTGAAAGCCCTTTGTTTCTGAGGGAGCCAAACCAGGTCTCAGCTAATCTACAAAAAGGGGTGGGATTCTAGGCCCTTTTTGATAATTATGTTTTTGGCACAAGCTATAGCTTATAGTAAAAGGCACTGTGGATTTATCATCTAACAAAATGACATATCCAAAGCTCCAAACTGTGAACGTAGCTGTTAGAGACTTCTGAGAATGCTGTTTAAAGGATGTCATTGCAGTGTTGAATGCTTCTATGTGACTGCTGAGCTTAAAAATAAATCAGTTCATAGGATCTCCTCTCTTACCATCGCTATTTAGACAGCTGATAGCTTGAAGGACAGCAAACCCAAGTTCATTCCAAAAGATGAAACACATGAAGGGCTGCCCAGCGAGAGAATGTGCACTCATTATTTACACGTTGATTTTAAAATTGTTTGATGTTGACACCTAGAACTAGTATTATAACACATACAGGAACTTAAAGGATGATTTTATCCCAATTAACAAAGCAAGGAAATGCAGAGTAGGGAGATGCCACCTCATTTGACTTCTTTCATGCATTTTGAAACATTTGCTTTCTTTCAAAATGAATTCAAGGTTATTCTACTTATGTGACCTTGAGAAGTATTTTAACTTAAAATACAGTCTAATGTCTGTACATTTCCCACATCTGTCCTCTTTAGATGTGGGGTCTTTCGATGGCCATGCCTGTCCCCAAACCATCTATTCTCCCTTCTCTAGGGCAGCAGTTCTTGACCTTGATTAAACCAGAGGGCCCTTATGAAATCTGATGAAGGTCCAGAGACTCTTTCCCTATGTGAACCCCTGAATGGATATTCATTTCCTTTCTCTGAAATGAAACTGTACATTTTTGCTTTGTAATCTTCACTGATAGGATCTGATTGTGCCAGAGGTGCTGGAGCTGGCTTCCTTAGGAAACAGAAAGGCTGAAGTACAAGCATGCTTGAGAATATCCTGTTGTTAATCGATGAATAAAAATCAAGATGAAATTCTTCATTTGATAATTAAGAACTTAGCTTTCTCCATAGAAAGGCAACCAAAACTCCTGGAATAAGAAAGGAGTCCAACCATCTTGTTTTTTACTTTGGTGTGGTAATTTGCGAGTCACAGCCTACCTAGCACTGTCCTTTGCTTCAGTTCCCTTTTGTTCTATCTGCAATGCTGGGGATGGAGCCCAGGGCCTGGCACATTTCAGATAAGCTGGGACCACCCTCTCAGCCCCCAAACCCTGCTGTTCATAACCCCTAGGAGAGAGCTGCTTTTCTTGTGGGTTGTGGTTGCATGAATTCCAGGCCCTTGAATTTTTGCTTATTCCCCACAGCAACGTAGTGATGCACCAGAAGTAAGGTGCTCTGATTCTACTCTGATTATGCTACTAATTGTTATTATTCAGCGATAACATGGATAAATAACACATTTACTAACATGACATTCAGAAACATGCCCATAGTTTAAATGGTGGTCAGTGTTCACAATACTCTCTGGATTTCTACCTCTTTATAGAACTTCACACCACTTAAGACCTTGGTTCCTCTACTTATAGCATATTGGGCTCCAAATAAAGAATTTTTCTAGTCATGGGCAAAATGCTATCGTCAAATAACAAATACTTTGCGCAGGGATTTAGAGACAGGCCAGAATACATAGTTATTCCAAATGTTGTTTTATAGAAACATAGTTGTTGAAAGCAAAAGGTGTATCATGTTGCTCCTTGTAACTTAGAAAGTCTGTAAATGGAATTCGTTTTCTTTAACAAAGAAGAAATGACAGTGTCCTGACCAGAGCTCAAACACTGCGACAAAGGGTCTTACTGCCCAGGACTGAGTGGGGAAGAAATGGAACCGGAAGTTGCTGTCTCTCAAGTCATCACCAGCCCCTAATTAGGATTACATTTTTCTTCTAGAAATAAGAAACCAAAAGAAGCCAGGTTTTTTTATTTTAAAAATTACATTTATTTATTTGTCTATTTACGGGATGGCCATGCATGTGCCATGGTGCCTGAGTCCAAGTCAGAGAATAACATGTATGAGTAGGTCTCTCCTTACACCATGTGGATCCCAGGGTCAGAACTCAGTCTTGGCTCCAAGCACCTTTACCCACCAAGCCATCTTGCCAGCACCCCCCTCACCCCCAGTTTGGCTTTTATACTCTTTGCTAGCTGTTTTCTAGATAACAGCAAAAAGTATGGGTTCACTCTAATTCTGTTTTCTAAGAATTGTTATCTATATCATCTACAGCTGAGAGCTTTTGCTCAGGGTACAGGTGTTTGAAAATGCTGTATTCAGAAAGATGCCATTTCTATAGCATGCAAATAACATGACATTTCATCTTGAGGCACATGTGACTAAGAATACAGAAACATACACACACATGCATGCACATATGCACACAAAACATAGGCACACACATGTACGTACAGACAGTTGCATCCACAGACACATGCACAGGCATGCACGAGCACACACACACATATGCACACACCTGTATACCTTAGTTTTCTTTTTCATTTTGAGTTGTTTGGTTTTTAAACCAGATTTTTTTCACTTAATGGTTTCCAAGCAACTTTCTTTTCTATGTGATATTTCTACAAGCAGAAGGAGACCTGCCTGGAGAGAAAAAGAAGGAAAGTTATTTGAATTTAGGCAAGTTCAGAGATGAGTTAATTGAAGACTGGCACAAATTATGCTTTTACTTTACAAATAAAGTTGTTCCAGTTGCCCTGGAATTGGCAGGAGTCACTTAGGGCTATGGCTGGGCCCCTTATTGATTGAATGCTTTGTGAAAAAGAAGGTGAGGTTTGCCTCATGAGTCAAGAACAGTTCTTCTGTACCATTTACTGATCAGTACATACTAAGGTGAATCTCTCAAATTGGCCTTGTTTTATAGTTTGAAGGAAAATGGGAAAAGCTTTTGCAGATAAGGCATTTATTACTTTATAAGTAATGTTACTCAATGTGCACTTACTTATAATGTTGGATCCAATGCTACAAATGAATTTGCAAATGGGAAATAGTCTTTAAAAACAAGCTTCAATTTGTAAAGCAACTTCTGAACTCCTAGGAACGTTCTGTAGGTAACAGGTTTGTACCTGAAAAGCCAAGTGCATGTTGTAAGTTATGCTATTTCTGACCCTGTCCTATAAATACTGTGAATGATGGTGATAGAGCAGAAGTGGATTTTGTTATCTACCTAGGGTCGCATGGTAAGTGAAGAGTAGGGATTCGCATTATGGAACCTGGGTCCAGAGCCTGTCATCTACAGATATTGTCTGGCCTCTGACTAAGGTTCAGCTCTTGAGTTAAACACTGGTCTTTTCAGGTCAAATTGAAAGAAGTTTACGAATTTCAGATCAGCCCTTCCAAATGATATTCTTAATGTCATTCGGACATAACATTAAAGTTTGCTAATTTCATGGTTGAAATGCAAGGGACTTTAGATTTAAATTCTTTGGTCTCAGGCTGGAGAGATGGCTCAGTGGTTAAGATCACTGACTGCTCTTGCAGAGGACCTGGGTTCAATTCCCAGCACCCACATGGCAGCTATAAACCAGCCTTAAATTCAGTTCCAGGGGAATCTGAAGCCCTCTTCTGACCTCCGCAGCATTGTACGACATGGGTGCACTCACATATATGCAGGCAATACACTCATACACATAAAATTAAAAAATAATAAAATTAAAAAAAAATTTTTTTGGTCTCATGAAGTTTCAAAATGTCTCTTTCTAGAATGAAGTATCCATGTTGAAAAACGAAGTGGCCCAGCTGAAACAGTTGTTGTTAACACATAAAGACTGCCCAATAACAGCCATGCAGAAAGAATCACAAGGATATTTAAGTAAGTTGTTCCTTCATTCTTTAGTAGCCAATTTTGCGACTAATTTTACATTGAACTTTATTAAAAGGGAAAATTTACAGTATAGGTTATCCTCCCAGGCAGATGTACCAGGATTCTTGAGTGATTACTCACCTTTTTTTAAACCAGGGGACCAAATCTTTCCTGACCCCTGTCCAACACCACACCCACCACCTCCCGATAAATTCTGGCAATGCTTTCCACGGGATTTCACATTACCAAATTTCAGATTTGTGCCCAGGAAGAAAATAGGCTGCTGAGTGCCCTGTCTATCCTTCTGAGAAATCTGACTGGGAAGCAACATTGGGTGAATCACTTCCAGTCCCTCATGAGCCACTACACGTGTCTCACCAGTCTAAAAACCTAGTGGCCTTTTCTCAGTTTACCAACGACAAAGTGGAACCCCTTTTCCTGCCTCCACTTTCCACACTTGTAATAGCGCCTTTACTAGGGTAAAGACTAGGTGCATAAGGGATGGTGGGAGGAACAGTGATTCATGGCTGAAGGTCAATTTATTTTCAAATAATTTTTTAGATTGAGCAACACAGATTCTCCCACCACATGTGAGTATTTGTCCACATTTTGATATATGATGACTATCTGAAAATACAAGATGGGGAACTTCATATACCAAGACTCAAACATATGAAGTCATTTTGCTGCTGGAGAAAATATGACTTTGCTCATAGCTATAAACCAGGAAGGCATACCTTGATGCCTTCCATCTAAAATGAAGTTTTGGCCTTACCTTCCAGAAGAAAATATGTGAAATGCTTCTATGTCAAGTAAATGTCTATTGATGCTTTAATTTTTTTCCTGAGGAGTTCACTAGAAAGAGCTATATTGGTATGTACATGTGTGTTCTCTCCTAGGTCCAGAGAGTAGTCCTCCTGCAAGTCCTGTCCCAGCATGCTCACAGCAGCAGGTTATCCAGCATAACACCATCACTACGTCCTCATCAGTCAGCGAGGTTGTGGGGAGCTCCACCCTCAGCCAGCTCACTACTCACAGAACAGATCTGAATCCTATTCTTTAAAATGCACGGGTCAGACCTTGCCTCCACAAAGAGCTGTAGCATACCATGCATCCTTTTTCCTAAGGGCATTTTTAGAATTAACTCAGACCTGGAAGATGCTTCAGCTCTTCAAAGACTGGCTTTCGTTTTTATAGGTATTACGGAAATGTTGTCTTTTATACTTAGTTATATAAGAAAAAAGGGAGTTATGCAATTAATATCTATCAGCTTGGGAAATGCGTTGGTGCTTTTCTCCAATTTTCTGGTACCAGTTACTTGTTTATAAACGGAACCTTTTCTGTATATAGCCATGGTTTCATTCTTATCAGTCCAAGCCTTTGCCTGAAACAATGAATCTTGTCAAACTACAGCTTTAGCCAAAATGAGGTATAACTGATATCAAGTGAGATGTATCCACAGCAACCGGGTAGACAATCTGATGATGTCATAACTCATGTTGAGTTTGTGCTGTGATGTCATCAGAATCCCAGATAAACACATGACCATCTCAAGGATCCATCGATATTCTAATAAAACCACCAAGCCTCTCACCCTCTCCCCTCCTCTTGGTCCACTTGCTCCAATGTCCACTTTTCTTCTCCACTTCCATTTCCCTGGAGCCCCTGTTTAATCTTCATTTTAACTTTATTTTGTTTCACTTTTCCCCCTTTAGCATTGTATGTGAAGAAAATAATATTTAAAGAAGAAAAAAAATATCAAATCTTGCAAATGTGGACCGAGCTGTTGCTGCATTCATGTTTAACCCGCAGCTGGAGTTCATTCAACTCCGCCTTTTACAAAATAGTAACCAGGAGATGTTTAATGTGCCTGATTTAATGTTTTTAATAATCAGAGCAAATAAAAGGTGGTTTGTTATAAGTGAAGCACTGTTGAATGCCAGCTGTGGAGACACTAGGGAAGGGAGCTTTGTAAGCCCAAATTGTGAACGTTCAAGTTAGGATGTGGGGCCATAACATCACACCCTTGAATTACAACTGATTTTCTATAGCTTGTCCATAATGTTAAAATCCATGCACTATATAATAATTCAGAAGGGCTCTGTTCACTACACAGATTATATTGTTCAATCATCAGCTGCTAATAGCCTAAGATTTATTATTATTATTTTTTTAAGCCTATGGAACCAGCCCTGCTGTTCTGGTAGGAGGAAGCAGACTCACTCCTGGAGAAACAAAGAGAAAAACAAGTCCAGTGTTTCTCCAGGGTGCTCTCTGCCTGCCAGAACGGTAACAGCTTCTTTGGCTGCTGAGTCCCATGGAGGTGACCAGGCCTCTGCACTCTTCTGAATAATTCTGATTTATATTTTCAGCAACTTCCATGGACTGACTCATTATAAAAAGCAGATAGAACCCAAACCACAGTTGTGCCTCCTTGAAAAAAGCCATTCTACTGTGCTAGTGTTTTAATATCATGTTTCACAAATAATAGGGGCTAATGTTACTTGCTAGTCTAGGCAGGTGCTGATGTTTCATCTCTGTTTGAATGGTTCACTCTTAACATGTGTGTGTGTGTGTGTGTGTATGAGTATATGTGTGTGTGTGAGGGTGTGCGTGCACATGCCTGTGTGTGTGTGTTTATGAACAGTATAGGTTTTAAAAGAACAGTATTTTACAAAAGGTGTCACTTTTCTAAGACTTTCGAATAGGAAGAATGTGCTTTTCCTCTCACTCTAATTTAAAATTCTATTTTGGAGAAAAAAGAAAATATGAGGGCTGTGAAGCATGATTTTTATAACTAGTTTCAGTTTTAACTAACAACTTACTTTTTAAATCAATATTTATCAACAACTTTTCCATGTGTGCAGTGTTTTTGAAAGACAATTTTGGCTGTTCAGTAAAACTTAAGATTTGCTTATATGGTCTAAGAATCAAAACAAATGCAAAAGCAGACAAACAAAAAAGAATAAAGTGAAAAGAGTAAAAAAAAATATGCAGGCAAAAAGAATTTTTATTGTATTGTAGGAAAGCATATCATTTCCAAGTATTTTAAATACTGAATTAATTTTTGCTATTATTTTTTTAATTCCAGAAGCAACGGAATGGTTTAAGTGGACTTTGTATGAAATGTTTTAAGACTTAGTTTTTAAAAGACGTTGATATTTCTATCTCTATTTTGAAATCAAAAATAATTTCTTCAAAATTCCTTCTGTAGACCATGCGTGTGTTGTGCTCCTCTCTAAAGACAGGGGGCGAGTTGAAATGATTGTCTTCACTTTTTAACTTTTATTCTATGTTTGCTTTAAGTAAACAAAACCCGTCTTTACTGCATGCATAACATTTAATTAAATGTATTTTTAATACACTAGTAATATCAGAATGTCCAGGGAGTAATACGCCAGCAAAATTACAATTTCTAGTTTTACTTATCTTCCACCTCTAGAGATATTTAGTTGTTAAACTGAAAGCCTGTGCAGTTAAGAACTTGCCTAAGTTTTCATAATTCAGCACCTTGACAGCTTGATTGATGTGCATTATTTATAACTCAATTATGCGTGTTTTTTATGCTAAGTATGCAGGCCAACCACACACAGTTAGCAAACCTTCCTCAACATATAATTAGAAGAAACTGCCTTCTTGTTACATGCAGGGCCTTTAGGTATGTTCATTCATACCGTGGACTTGCACTCAGTAAGGATGCCAGCTTGCTATCAGGGCTTTCTAAAACACCAAGGAGAAAGAAACTTTGTTGGTAAACTCCTACTCCCTATTTATCTGTAGTAAAGAGTCCACATAAAGATCCAGCCTTTTACCCAGTCACAGATCCCACCTGACATGCCCCCTGCACTGCTTGCTGTACACCTACCATTCTAGGAAAGCATCCTTTTAATCCCATTCTCTTCTCCCAGCCAGTTACTGTGTCACCCATGCATACTTTTGGAAATCAGTGGCAATGGTCCTTGGAGCTCCCATCTCCAAAGAGAGGAAGGACGGTCCGACAGCACTGCCTTGCATTCCTGTGTGGCTTGCTATATCACAGGATCTGCCTCTGAAGTCCCTGCCAGCTTCCTGGGCACTTCTCCAACACCTCCCCTCCTGATGTGTTGGGAGCTAATAATGTAAATAGTACACCTGAGACCATGTCTTCCAGGTGGGTCCCCACTGAGATAAGAGCCTACCATCCCAATTGCTTCTCCTTGACATGTTTCTCAATCTGTGATGCTAGGACAGGTAGAGTGAAAAATCCCAGTCCTAGAAGAATGTACTAGTTTCAAAGCTAGATGTCTTCTCCTACTCATCATTTCCTGCACCCCAAGACAACCTGTGCAAGTCATCGTTTTTACACAGCCCAAGGGAGACCAGTAGTATGTGCGCTGTCATGGTACATGCTGTAGCAATTTGGTGACTTATGTGGAGCCTATCTAGTCAATAAACAAAATGTAGTATGTACTCTGAGGGAGGTGTCAGTGGTAAATGTTCAGGTGGCTGTTGTCTGCTAGTAAAGTAAATGTTAGTGGGATAGTTTGTCATTAAAATCATAAACCAGCTATGGTAAAAGACCAGCCTTTGGTTGGGAATTTTTAAGCATCAGTAACTGCTACAAAACTAGCCTTCCAGATAGGATAGAATGTGCTTCTTGCTGATTAATAAAACCATCTAAGAAAATATATATGTATGTATGTGTGTATACAGTGGAATTCAAGGACCAAAGCAAAATTTGAACAGGAATCTATTAATTTAGAATTTTATAAGCTATTTATTAATAAATGTTATTTTTAAACATTCCATTTGGACAGTATTCTTCTGTAGGATCTATGTGTTTTGAAGGTGTTAATCCATAATAAAGTATGCCAGTGGCTTGTGCTTCGATTTTCAAGATTTCAGACGGCTGTTCTCCATCATTTGGTGGAAGAGTTTGCTTCGATCTCTGCATGAACCTTTCAAGGGTTTGTTTACTGCTCTGTGAATTATTTGTTAATCTATATTCTGAGCAGATACTTTTTTTTGTATTTACTTCTTTTTGTTTTTAAAGTAAGCTCCTTCATTTCAGAAACAGAATTCAGCTAAAGGGAATTGGTAACTAACTGGAACAGCTTTCTTTAAGTTGTGAATGGCCTTCCTCCACTACGCTGCATACCCTAGACTGCCTTGCACTACTCAAGCCCCGTCACCCATCATGTCTGAGAAGGGAAAGGGAAGCGTTCCTTTCTACTGAATTAAACCGTGCCTATGTGAGCAGTAGTGATTTAGAATCTCTTTTCTGCTTTTAAAATAATTTATGTTTTAAAATTGCACTTTAGCTCTTTCGATCGCTTTCCACTTCTCTTCTCTTTCTAACCTCTTAGACTTGCCTGTCCTTAAACTTGTCTTTGCTCCACCCTTTACAACTCCTCTAACCTTCTGTGAAGGCTCTGAACTGCATCATTTAAAATATTTTACAGAAAATTTGCACCAGGTACCTGTATGTGCATTCCTTGGTAGCATAGCTGAGCAGCGTTTCCCACAGCCTAGGTGAAGCCTGCTACAAGATGCCAAGAAGAGCCAATACACATGATTTTTCCTCTTCGTCCCTTCTTCCTAGGATGTTTTTAAATTGCTATTATGCATATTATGCATAATTAATATTATGCAACAGATGTGAGGCAGCAGCTAAGCTATGCTTAAGCATTTTCTATCTCATCCTCCAAACCAAAGTATCTGGAATAAGCCAGGAGACATGTCCTCTCATGTGCCATGGTACTGTTCTCTGTCGTCCTAGTCATAGTCTTGCTGAGGCTGCTGAGGAGGCACTGCCTCTATCCATTCCAGTCCTAGCTCTCAAAAATACAATGTGGCCTTGTACCATGATTAAGGACAGCAGCTCTGTTGGACAGTGACAGTCTACGGAAGGATAAGAAGGCACAGGAGCAATAAATTACAAGTCAAATCGAATACCAAAAACACACAAAGAACTTGAAAGACAACCTAGCTCATCGTGTTGTAAAGATGGAAAAGTGTGTGTCCATTCGAAGTCTCTTACTATTTCTTGTGGAGTTTTTCAGTGATGTAATGCTTGTAGCCAAATTGCTTAAAGAGTGTTTATATATTTTTTCCTTATAAATTGTCTATTTTTTGAAAAAGAAAAACCTATTTAACTGCAAGCTGAAGAGGGGGTAAAGCCACACTGCCAGCATTTGTTAAAACATTAATTCCATTAAGTGGCCCTCTGATACCTTTCCAAGCTTATCATCAGAAACAAATCAGTAATCAACTGCTATATTTAAATCAAGTTATAATATCTAGCTCATTAGAAACCAGAACCTAGAAAGTTCTTCCTAAGCCATTTAAGGTTTTCATACATTGAGGTCTATGTTCCAGAACTTTATAGCGTTCTTTAAAAGAGAAATTATTTTGCCTCATGGCTAAGAATGTGGGACTGGAATAAATTAGCTTTAAACATGTCATTAAAATCTTCCACACAATCAACACATTGGAGTCTAGTTTGCTCCTTTAGAATGCCCATGCTGCCGAAACTGCAGGAGAACATGAAAGGTATCAGTGGTGCCTCGGTGCAGGGGGAGAGAAAGGACCCTTCCTGTGTAGCCACAGACAAGACCTGCCTGCCTCCCTTCCTTCTAAAAGCTCGGCTAATCTCACCTGCCTCACAGACAGAAGCACTGCCTTTGAGGATTGTCTCTGAGAAAAGATAAGCTTGAAATGTCCTCTTGGTAGAGGACATAGTACATGGGATCTTCTGAAAAGACCCAGAAAAAAATGGCTCTATTCAAACATAATGTTCTAGGACAATTGGAATAGAAATATTGTCCAAAAATATAATAAAAGTTTAGCACTGTGTAAAGTAAGTGTTGAGTAAGAAAGTCCCCCTTCAAAGGTGCTGTCACTTTAAGTTCTGGACTTGGGGTTGTTTATCATTGTAAACAGCAAAGCATTTGTGTTTGTTTGTCTGTTTGTAAAGCAACCACCTTCCTATTGGAAGGAGTAAAAAACCTGGGGGGTACATATGTGTAAATATTTGCTGAAGCATTTTAATATGGTTAATTTTTATGTTAAGCTTTTTGTTGCATTGTGAACACATTTACTGTTATTGGTGAACAATGAGTTCATTAAGACTGTTCAACTAGGTCAGATTTTTACATCTCTTTCTAGCAAGAAGAGAGAAGATTTTGTGCATTTGTACAAATGTTAATATCACTGCAATTGCAATATAATAAAGCACTCAAATGCAAAATAATATATGTAATGTTTGTATGATTTGGCCTTGAAGATAATGGGCCTTTCTTCACATTCTCACTACTGCCCAGTAAACCAAGGCTAACCCCCAGGGTAACCATTATCTAGGGTCAAAATAGAGAGAGGCTTTCATCTTTCCAGACTGTCTGCAGTCCCGCTCCCTTTCCGTCCAGCTTCCCAACTGAGACTGCTGGTCTAGCTCATTCACACTGGGATGGCCATACCTGCACTGCACTCTAAAGAAGGCGGAGAGTAGCAGATCTTAACAGCCAACTTTGGCTCATGTTCCAGTTATGCTGAGGAACAAAGAACCCCCTGTTGGCTACTCAGAGCTCTTCACTTGACCTCCCTGAATGGTCTAAATGTGGCAACAGCTCTTTGGTGTGTGTTCTTCTAGAAAGCTGGCTCCTTTCTTTCCACTTACGTCTTTGGTGGCTCACGCCTCTAATCCCAGCACTTGGGAGGCAGAGGCAGGCAGATCTCTGTGAGTTCAAGGCCTGCCTGGTCTACATCGTGAGTTCCAGGCCAGCAGGGGCTGCAGGGAGACCCTGTCTCTAAAAAAGACCAAAAAATTTTTTTTTATTAAATCTTTCAGAATTTCATACATTTTGATCATATTCTGGGCCCCTCCCCCATCTCCACTCCCACCTTATTACCCACCCCTGACTTCATGTCCTCTATTTTAGAGGGCTCTTGAGCCTAATTTGTGTTCCCAAATTCTCTTCAGTGTAAGTCCATCTCCTGGACTCTGGTCAACCTGCCTGTGGTGTCACACCTTAAAGGAAACTAACTCTCACTCTCCTAGAAGATGTCAATTGCCAATATTTTCTTAGCTAAGGTTGGGACATCTTGGCTACCCACCCCCATGCTGGGATTTTGTGTGGCTTGAGTTTGCGTAGGTTTTGTGCATGCTGTCACAATTGCTGTGAATTCATATGTGCAATTGCACTGCTGTCTGGAAAATTCTGTTTCTTTGTAGTTGTCTACCACCTCTGGCTCTTATAATCTTTCTGCCTTCCTTCTGCAACAATCCCTAAGCCTTGGGAGGAGAGATGTGATGTAGGTGTCCACAGTAGTCCTATTCTTTGCATATTGACCAGTTGTGGGTCTCTGTGTTAATTGTCATCTGCTACAAGAAGCTTCTCTGGTAGAGTAGTGAGAGACATTAATCAATGAACATAACAAGTCAGTAGAAATCAGTTTGATATTACATCCATTTAGCAGACCAATAGTAGGATGTTCTCCCCTACAGCCTGTGACCTGCCTAGCCACAAGTTTTGGGCCATGATAAAAGTGCCAAGTATGGGCTCCATCTTGGGAAGCGATTAGTTACTCCTGTAATATTGCTGCCATTATCACACCAGTGGACTTATCTTGCCAAGAAAGTTGTTATTGTAGCTTGCAAGGTTCACAACTGGGTAAGGTTGGTGATTTCTCTACCGCAGCATGCATAGTTCCTTTCAGCACTGTGAAAGCTAATGAGTAGAGATGAAGCTTTGAGGTCAGGACCAGCTTCATTTCTTCCTGTTTGTTCTACAACTCATGGATGTAGTGTCTTCATGTATGTAGGTATTACTGTCAAGTAATGTAGGTAATTAAGAGCAACGGCAGTAGCCAGTATTATTTGAGAATCTATGGGATGACTCCTCCCCTAGTTAATAACTCCAAAGGAGGGAGTCTATTCCTGGCACTGGGCATTCTATTTTCTATTCTTTTTTAGATCATTCTCTCTTTTCTCCTACATGGTCTTCTCCTACAGTGTTTAAATCTCTTGAAACCCACATTAATACAGTAGTGGCCTAATGGGCTACAAATGTCTCCCGCAGGTGCCTTCCACTTGTATGGTCTCAGGAAGAAAGCTATTCACTTATTCTTTTCATGAGTCAAATAGGAATATCCTAATTCATGGAAAACTTTTACTCAGTGCTCAAACGGCAAGAAAATTTATAGTTTGTGTTGCATTTACACATCCTACTATGACCACACTGAATGGCTTCCAAGCTTTGACCTTGGTTTTCCTCTGAGACAGTGTAGGTTTGCTTAAAGAAGAAAAACCATGTCACAAAGGCTCAAGTGATACTTGGAAGGATGTAAAAGATATCTCATGGCATCTAACTAGGTTCTACAGCAATCTCATCTGGAGGCCTTTGGGACGACCTGGCTGCTCAGTCTGGTTGTCTCTATCGCTAAGGACACATGGGTACTCATTATACACCTTGTAGTGTCTGCTACTCTCTCTGTGTGAGCTGATTTGTATTCAGTTGCTTCTATGATGCCACTACTTCTGATGGCCTCATCCACTGGCACATCTACAGTCTTCTGAGTCAGTCCCTTGTAGGAACTCACGATCACTCCATCTTTCTCTTCTTGTTCCCCAGAAGGGAGAATCTGGTTGAACACATTGGAACAAGGCTTTCTCCCACATCCTACAAGCTCTCCCTGGGGAAGCCGGGTGATATGTGTCTAAACCTCTGACTTCTGAAGATAAAGAAGAATTTCTGAAAAGAGGATGCAGAGATAAACGATGACTACGTGGAAACAGCTGCTCTTTCTAA